TTCAAAATAAGGGTGCGTCTTATATTCCGAAAAATACGGTAAGTTGTGAGTCCTGGCAGAAGCCTTAAGTGAATACTAGGTCAAGTTTAAAATCTACAATGGCAAAAAGAGAAATTACAGACAATGTTGTGATGGAACAGATGGACAAGTATAACATACAAGACACTGGGTTTTCATGGAAAGCTTTTACATTTATTCTTTTTTACTAGACACATTATTGGCCATTAGAAACTGTGACTGTGGGAAATGCAAGAGAACAGACTTTTTTTCTCAGAAGAACTAACAACTAAATGTATGCATAGGAGAAACAATTTTTTGACTGTTGTAAAATGGACTGAAAAATGAGATGTTTTATGTTCTTTTCCACCTTATATTCTACTACTATGACAACTATGGCAAGAAGACAGATGAATATTGAGGTTACAAAATCTTAGTTCATTGTGAACACTACAATAAATTTATGAGGGTTGACCTGAATGACCAACATGTAAACTACTATTTCACTCGATGAAAGGTAATAAAGTGGTACAAGAAAAGTTTTTGACTTGACAACTGTGAATTCTTACATATACAAAATGCAGATCAGCCAGTCAACCTTCAGAATGAACCAGATCACTGCTCTTGTTTAGCCTCTATTTCAAAGCAGACCAGGTCCTTCTGGTATACCACTCTCAAGAACTGTGCAGGACTCTTCACCTCTGAGACTCACTCTTAGCACATATTGGAAAATATGTGTTGATAGGGATAAAAGGAAAAGATCTAGAATATGTGTCTAAGAAAATAAGATAAAGATGCAGTGTGAACTGTGTCTTGAGTACTTTTGTTTGAAGCATTTTGAAGTGTAACACATCAATGCTACTCACAGCTGAAATGTTCATAGCTAATTTATGTTCAAGCCACATAAAATGTCAGTTATGAGAGTTTCTCTTAAAAGTTTTGTTTAAGTACTAGATAGAAGTGTCTGCTCTTTTTTCCTTTCCAACATTTTCTCTTTCTCTGAAAACTAAAATATTTTTAACAGTAACATCATCTCCACTTTTTTTATATTGAATGTACAACTATTTTTTGAAACTTCTCCACATTTTTTGATTTAAGGTACTTTGAGAGAATTTTTTTTTTCTTAGCTTTAAATAGTTTTTTTACTGAAATATTTTTGTATAACTTTTCATTGATTCAGCTTTGTTGAAAAACTGTATGCTTCAGAAAAAGCTGAAAAATGGGAATATACTAAATTATATATGTTTTACTTTCTGGACAAAAGTTTTACATTAATTTGAAAACATTTACAGGCATTTAGCTCTAGTTTTTTGTGATGATAACTATAAACATAATATAAAATAGAATGCTAAAAATTAGATTTTTTTGTCAAGTGTAAATAGCATGTTATGATACATTGGTACATGAAGAACATTTACCAACACAATCTCATGATGTTCAATACAAGTAATTTACAATGTATCAATTTACAATATATATAAACCAAAATAAGTGAAAAGCACTTACTTAAAGGCAGGATTATCAATATTAGCTGTGCGAGCTGCTTCTTCAGCACCTTGGCCATTGACAGCAACAGATATGGCAACCCTCTCAACAGCTTGACAGGACTTGTTATCCTCTAGTGAAGAGACTAGAAGCAGGCTATCAGATTCTCTGTTCATTATTCTGATATAACACGCAAGAGGAAACTATTTGGAAAAATTAAAGGTAGGCCATACATTGCACACCAACCACTTTCCCAATCTCTTTTTGAAATGTGCTTAGAATCCACATTTCAAATTGAGGTTTAACACAGTTCAAAACCAAACCACAGATCTGACTGCTAAAGTGGGAGATAAATGAACAGTTATATCTATTAGGATTTGATTTTGAAGAGTTGAGAATTGTTGCATGATGGATTTGAATGACCAGAGGATTTAAATATGTTATAAACTAAAATCTAACAACAGCAGAGTAGAAGGATTAAATAAGTATGAAAGAAAGCAAAAGTCCTTTCAATAAGTTTAACATTTACAATACACTTCTTAGGGCATCATTTCTGGAAATCAATGGACAAAAATGGTGTTAAACTTTCCCTTTTAAAGCATTTAACAACTATTACATTATATACTCCAAGTATGTGGGCACAAGTTTTGGAAATTTTGTTTTCCTATGCTGATAAAAACATTCAGTCATTGAGTTTGCAGCACATTATACAGATTTAGTAATTATTCTGTTAAGTGGCAGAAGGTTTTATGCTATTTTAAACATACTTTCACCAATAATTACTGACATTCTGTTTGTGTGTAATTACACAAGGTTTAGCTGTAATGATTGTGTGTGGTTTTATGAGACTGAACAGTACAATTATATGCTTTATTTCTTATTACTACTACAATAATTTTAGTTACTGTGTGCACTCTAAGTTTTTATACACAACAATTGTGCTTGGTTTACTACATGTACCTACTCTTAAATTTTATTGTGCTGCCACAAACTTTTACTGTTAGAATTGTTTATACTGCTATAGTATAGCATTTATCCATTATGTTTGTACATATTGCCCTAATATTGTTGGTACCTTGTAATATTGTTCACATAGTTTAATAGAAAAAAAAAACTTTCCAGGACCAAACTGACAATTTCAAGAATGTAATTTACTGATTTTAACAGAACATAAACTCCACCCAAATTAAGTTTCTAATGTGTATAAAAAATGCAGTAACAGCGGTACAAAATGTTCTAGTAATACCAGTAATGCTGGGGTTTTGATAAAACACTTAAAAGATTTTGAAACATTCCTGCTGAAGCCACAATGATGAAACATTGGCTAAAACAGAAAAAGATTTTTATCATTATCTGAAGATTAAAGTTATTTTTTTCTAACTATATTGCCAACATGTCTAAATCCCTCCAGTATGCACTGCAAATTCTGAAAAACAACAACAAAATGTGAATAAAACACTAATATATTTTTTGCTATTTATGGCTCCACAATCTTTACCCAGTCAACAATTTTATAATTTTAGATATCTGAGCTCATTTTACCAATATTCAATTGCAGATAGAGGTTCATAGTTCAAAGCATGTTAATGACAAATGTTGCAAAATAAACATATTTTCCACTTTATGAGCTACATTTTCCAGAGATTGTTTTTTGTGAAACTGCACTAAACACAATGATACAGCTTGTTGTTGACAAAAACAAGAGATGTAGGAGTGGTGAGGTTAGACTTTCAAAATTTTCAGGACTTGTGTGGACCGTATTGTACACATCAATCTAAAGATTAGCTAGTGTGCATGCTTATATTACTACAAGGCTTCATATTAATTAGTTGTCTGTGCTGTCACAAGGTTTTATGGCCATTGTATCTTTGTGTAATGCCATTAGTTTTTTTCTTTATATCAAAACAAAACCCAGGAATTTACTAGAATTTTTTCTCTCTAAATTGAGCTTGGGAAAATAGGGGCATGCTTTGAGCCTCCAGTGGTTCAGGGACTAATGAGAAAAAAGTACTTGTCCTTTTTTATCTCACTTATAAAGTAATAGATTTGAAGACCATCAACAAATAATTATCTTTAACAAACTTACACTAAGGAATAATATATTTATACTTAAAATTCCCAATCTTGTTAATTCGTGTGAAAAAACAACCAAAAAACAAAACATTTATAGTTTTGCAATAAATACATACGTGAAGATTCATTTTAAAAAATAAACTAATTACTCCATCACATCTGCCTTTTCTACTTCAACAAACATTGAAGAGGTTTATACAAACATGAAAATCATTTGGAAACATTCTTGAGTAAAAACAGATAACAGTTATTATAATTTTTAACCCAGCTTGATAATCCGCCATGCACCCTAGTGCTTCAGTCGAGTCACAAAATTAGTGGAAAGTAATAAATAAAAATTTTTAATCTCATCATAATGTCTCTACAAATTACTGAGTTTAGATTTAAAAACAAATCCAAGCCAAGTACTGTTATAATCATTTCATATCCATCTAATTTATTCCTATATTGGTTTGCTTAAATGAATATGAACTACAAGTTTTATAAGTTATCTTTAGAGGCTAATTCACCTACTTAGAATATATAAGAATTACATATATGTTTCAGTACCAATCTGCAGTTGCTTGCACACATCATTTTCTATCACAGATTTTGACCTATATTTGTCTCAAACAGTTTACTTTGCAATACGACAGATTTTTTCTTCATTATTTGAAAACATGTAGCAAATGTTGTAGTGTTCAAATCAAAATATATTGAATAAAATGGTCATAATCCATAATTCCACAATCATCCATACAACCCAGTGCTACATTGTTTTTGTTACACTTAAATATGATTTCATTAAACTATATTTCACAAAATGTCAATGAAAAAACGTTTGACATACAAGAATGTTTGTTTGTTTTAGAGCAAAGCCACACTGAGCAATTAGCTCTGTCCACTGTGGGGAATTGAACCCTGGATTGTAGTATCATGAGGTCACAGACTTACCACTGTTCCACCAAGGGAAGAAATAAAGAAAAAAGTGAACACAACTATGAGAATTGGGAATCAAGCATACTTCAAATACTGACAAAACCACTGGTAACAAGAATGATCAGTAATCACTTTTAAATTTCATTGTGAACTGAACTTTTCTAGAGACACGAGTTTAAACACAACAAATATGTACAAATAAATCATGAAAATTACTGGAATCTTTTTAAGTAGCTTTCTATATCTAAATAAATAAACGTCAATACGTGTGTGTACTGTTCCTTATAATGTTTCCACATTTCATGATCAATCAGCACCAAACTTGATACACTGATACAGAATGACATGAGGAAAGTCATAAGGTTTTTTCAACCCCTTTGCAACAAGCTCAAAATAAAGTTACAAAAAAATTGCAAACCATTTTTGATGGTGCTAGTCATATCCCTTACCTTAGGATTAACTGATAAATTTTGATGACAGAAAGGTAAAAATAATTTTTCACAAGCTGAATACAATAAGTACATTTCAAGGTAAAGTCAACAGAAAGCAATGGTTAAGAAGGTAATTATAATAAAAACAAAAATTTGTTTAATTTATACAACTTTGTTGTAAAGCAAAAATGATGTTACCAATGTGTGCAAACAAAGTTCTATGAAACTTGTGCAAAATTTTCTTAAGTAACATCTAGAACAATCTGTATAAGAAGAATGCTTTTATTCCAAGAGTAATAAACAATTGCAACTTCAACCTCAAAAAAAAAGGGAGAGGCAGGCAAACATACACGCATGGATGGACAAGGTCTGGTGAGGCTTATCATTTCAAATAGTTGTTTGAATATAAAAAAGACAGTTACCTCTATCTTTTTCAACCGTGCTCTCTTCTTCATTATCGTCGAGTATGTCAACAACAGAAGATGGCTTCAGGACTTTACTGCAAGAAAATTAACTAAATGTCAGTTTTAGGGAATAATATGTTAAGTAAACTCATATAGATTAAACTATTCATTATATATCTGTTACTGTAACTTAGACAAATACATAAAAAATTTTCTACTAAATAAGAATATTTATTTAGTCACATTTCACATGAAATGCATTAAATCTCTCTACACCGGCTCGATCAATTTGACTGACTATATATGACCTTTTAGTACTCATATAGTCTTTATAGATTTGGTACTACTAATTTTTGACATACTGTATATATCTTCACAAAATTTGGCATTCTTTCAGTAAACATTATAAGCCCTTTACATACAAAAAAATCATATTTTTAGTGAAGTATTTTTAATAAACTAAAAAAAGATTTGTCTGCAAATATATCAAGTATTTGTTTTGAATAGTCCACGTGCAAAGCAATTTTCATGTTAAAATTAAAAATACTTTCCTTCATCTGAAAAATCTCAAATTTCATTTGTGTAATCTCTAAACCCTCCTAAATACATTTCAAATGTTTGTTTTCAGTAAAACTTTATATTTCATCTGTTATTTTCTCTATCCTAACTCTATACAAGGTTGGACAATTTGACTGATCACATAACCACCAAAAGAAAAAAGAAGAAATATCTAAATTACCCTCTTCTTTCTAGAATGACTTCAAATGTAGCATGAAACTACATTTGTTTATCCTAAGTAGCTTTAAACTTATAACAGTATACATCTATCTATAATTAAAATTTATTGCCCTTTGAATCATGTCTAAGTACTATTCATGCCATTATAAATTGTAAATCACTTGGGGAAAGTGCAGCTCATGTTATGCTATCAAATTACATTATCCACAAGCTACTCCAAGCTGCTCGCATGCGTGCCTTGTGAAATATTTTCATTATATTATTATTGTTTATTTTACCTAATCTAACCTTAACTAACCTAACAAGATCTCTATTTTTACATGTTAGTTACTTTTATAATGATAAATAAAGAATAAACATAAAAAACTGGAAATACAGTCATTACCTGAGTATTTTTTTTTGCTGTTGACTATCGATGACCCTTAACCCTACCTTTTTTATATTAATGGTAGTAATACATTAAATAATTCACCAAAGAACATAAGCTGATAACATACAAAAAGCAGACAATTTCCTCTAAAAATCACAATTTTTCTGGCTTTTTAACCAAAGTTGTATTAGATGTGAAATTGACCACTTCTCTGTTCAGAACAGAATGTAATATAATATGCCACTTGATAGATGAACACCTTGGCTTTCTATTGGTTATAGGTAATATATAATTAAACATAAGAGAGAACTATTTACAAATCCTGAAAGAGAGGATGTGACAGATGGTTGTTGCAGGAGGGGGGTCTGATTTTATATTTGATAGCTCTGTGACCAAACACAATTGAAGGCTATAAAAATCATGATTTGTCTGAGCAACGATGATTTTATAAAAGAGTAATTTATGTTTAATTTCATTGCTTCTGGGGCGGTGGTGGACAAAATAGAGATGAGAAGATACCTAAAGAAAGTGTGTCACTTGTGTCAAACGAGGGGAAATTCAGGATTTTTTTAAATATTGCCTTATAAAATTAAGAATTTAAAACTTGTATACTATCAAAATATGGATTATTAGCTTAGATTTTATGCTATATTAATTGGTATAGCATAAACAAAAAGTTTGATGACGAGGAACACACTTTGAGACTAATAATGGATGGAGACGGCTTGAATGGGTAATGAAGAAAAACTTTAATATAAGTTTAACATAACAGCAAAGGTACAACGTTTCGACAAGGTTTTGTCATCATCAGGTACATGTAATTTACACTGACACGGATATATATATATATATATATATATAT